TTGGTTCGGCCTCTGCAGTGATGCGGACGCTGAGCCGATCTGTCGTGGGGAAGAGGGAGCTGAGCCAGAAAGCCAGGCTCTCGATTTACCGGTCGATCTACGTCCCAATCCTCACCTATGGTCATGAGCTTTGGGTAATGACCGAAAGAACGAGATCGCGGATACAAGCGGCCGAAATGAGTTTCCTCCGTAGGGTGGCCGGGCTCAGCCTTAGAGATAGGGTGAGGAGCTCGGACATTCGGGAGGGACTCGGAGTAGAACCACTGCTCCTCCGGATCGAAAGGAGCCAGTTGAGGTGGTTTGGGCATCTGGTCAGGATGCCTCCTGGACGCCTCCCCGGGGAGGTGTTTCGGGCATGTCCTGCCGGTAGGAGGCCCCCGGGTCGACCCAGGACACGTTGGAGAGGTTACATCTCCAATCTGGTCCGGGAACGCCTTGGGGTCCTGTCGGAGGAGCTGGTGGACAAGGCCGGGGAGAGGACGGCCTGGAGCTCCCTAGTTGGGATGCTGCCCCCGCGACCCGGACCCGGATAAGCGGAGGAAGACGACGACGACGACGATTGTTTTTGGATGGTAAAAAGTGCAGGGGTCAAAACTTGACTTTGGAAAAAGTGTGTGTGTGTGTGTGGGGGGGGGGGGGGATCCCCCCACCCCCCCACCCCCCCACACACACACAATTACATCCATGTTTGTACCATAAGTGAGGAGGCCGGTCAAAAGAATCGGGCCGCTGTGCGTTCCACGGTCACATTAAAAAAGTACTATAAGGTCCACGCTATGTGATCAGGACTCTACTCCTTGTGATCCTCTCCCACTGACTGATTACAGTCATGAGGTGTACAACTTGAGTTAGCTAGTGTTTATTTGTGTAGCTGGTAGCTTCCTGGCATGGCACACTAAAAAGTATTACAATTCATTAAAACATGGTGGTGATTAATAACTTGAGTGTAAACCGACTCTGAAAATTAACGCAGGTTCTAGTGTACACGTCACCGAAATGATCTCTTTAGAGAGTTAGGCTAACACTGTCTTGGTGTCACAATTCAACTCAACAAGTGTTTACATGTGGAGTTTTAACACTAATTTGGTGCATTTTGTAAACTCTGCTGGTGTTAAAATTTAACACCAGCAGAGTTGAGTATTAACACTAAAATGGTGTTAAAATGTTCACTCTTTTAAAAGTGTTGATTTAACACTGAAGCAATGGTTCCCATATAAAGTCTGAAGAAGTGTTAATTTTAACTGTGAGTGTTAATTCAGAACTTTCAAATTTGCTGTGTGCTAAACATTTTCTTCAGTGCAGATTATCCATCGTAAAAAAGGCCCAGCAGAGGATGTACTTCCTGAGGCAGCTGAAGAAATTCAACCTGCCAGCAAAGTCGATGAGGCAGTTCCACACCGCAGTCACTGAGTCCATCCTCACCTCTTCAATCACAGTGTGGTATCCTGGAGCCATCACCAGGGACAAGAAGAGGCTGCAGCGTGCCGTGCACTCTGCTGAGAAGGCCATTGGCTGTAAACTCCCCTCCCTACAGGACCTGTACACCTCCAGGTCATTGAGGCGTACTGGTTGGGTCACAGCAGACCCATCTCATCTCTTCGACATGCTCCCATGTGGCAACTTACCACAAAAACAGTTTCTTCCCCCTGTGGTCAGACTCATGAATGGCAATCATAGACCTGCCCACTCCAGCTACTTTGTTTCAGTCACATGACCCTAATGTTGTGTTTGCACCTAAACGGATCCAGCTGGCTTCGTTAGTGCAGCAGGCTCTTATAGTTTGGTAAATTGTATTTATCTTGCACCTTCTAGTCAGAACCATCCAAGGCACCTTACAACACAATATTCATTCACATGCTTTGGCTTGACTTGGACTGGTGTTGATGTAAGGCTTTCCTGTTGGTATTAGATCCATTGTTGCCATCCCTTTATTAGTAACAACTTAGATTTAGTTGCAAGCATACCAGACGGGGCCTAAAATGTGATGTCAGAAGATAGTTGGTTGCTGATTGGCTAAGGGGTGGAGTCACCCAAACTCTCCTGAACTTTCATTTTTGCTGCTTGCAGCCTTTTCCGAGTCTCTTCATTTTAGAGTATGACAAAACGTCACAACATCGCTACACTGTCTTCCATTGTTGTGCAGTTTTTTTTTTTGTTGTTTTTTTTTGTCGAGTACAGATCACCTCACTGTCTTTTAGAAACTTTAGTGGTCACCCTGCTTAGACGAGCCCACCCACTAGATCTGTTTCTCAATTGTAATAGAAAACCACCCAAAAAAAAACACACATAGAGTAAAATTGAGCTGAGTCAAGCTGTGCCGATTAGATGCTTGTAAAAAGGCCAAGAGTAAGATTGTGGTGGTTAATTGTGGTGGTAGCAGCAATTCATAGTGACCATGGGTGCTTAAGATGTGATTTAAAGGAGGGTTTGTGGTACGCAGAGATACAGTGTCAACCAGCACCTTTTAGTTTTAACTCTGTTTCAACACACCTGATTTCAATCAGCAGGTAATTAGGCTTCTGCAGAGCTGGGTGAGCTGCTGCACAGGTGATTCAACCTCTGAATCAAGTGTGATGGTGTCACGTTGCCTTCTTCTCAACCCTCAACATCCTCCCCTGGAGGAAACCACACTCACTCAGCCCAGTCGAACTCCACTACCCAGCATTCCCAGTGCCGGCCTTCCGGCTCACGTCACCCGCCACGTCTACATAAGGAAGTGCAGCTCAACACCAAACCACTCAGTCATCGTTCCTAAAAGACTATGCTCCGAGTTCTTATCAGATCCTATCGGATTACTCAAGCCTGTTCTGACCAGACCAGCCCAAGCCACTCACCCTGCTGACTCACAGTAAGCTCGTTTCCTTTTGGAGCTGCCGTGCTCACTAGCTTTGTACGGTTTGACTCCTAGAGCATGTCAATCTGCCCGGCGTCAGTCACTCCGCGCTTGGGTCAAAATACACGCAACAATCCGAACTCTCGCTCCGGTCCAGCTCAGCTCGAGTCAGGCCTTACAGATGGAGCAGAGAAACCACTAAAATGTGCTGGACACTGACCCTCTAGAACCAGAGTTGAATAGCTCGGGTGTAAACGCTTGCTCCAAATTGAGAGCAAGTTATCAAGTAACAAATATTAGATCATTAAAAGTTTCTGAACACAATTAAACATATTTGTGTTTGTGTTTTTTAACTCTAATGCTACATCTTTGACAATCTTTCAAATATTTTTGAACTTTTCAAACCTTTTTATTAATCTTTACACCTCGACTATCTAAAGCAGTTCTACTTGCATCTTCTTCATTTTAGCAAAGTCATTCAACATTCACACATTTTAGCAACAAATGCAATTTATCAAGTTGTTATTGGTTTCTTAAAAATGGTCTCAGTCCTAATCCATGTTTTATGGTATGTTTAATTTTGTTTAAATTGCCGCAATTAGGTATATTATTCACAGACGTGTAATAAAGTGTGTATATTTGCTGGCTGTGTTGCAGCAGCAGACTGTATGACACGGTGTTTAGGTAGACCCTGTGATCAGTGTGTCACCTCCCAACATGTGAGCCTAGAGGATAGATGAAAGATTCCCTTTAATTAAGGACATTTCATTTAACTTCAAAGAGCTGCTCACCTCCTCTCACTCACCCTCCAATCCTCTCCTGATTTCATGCCGACATTTGAGTCCATCACTTCCTGGTCTCCCCTGCTCATGCATTTATCAACCCAGTTCCCATGCTTCCCTCCCTCCTCACCACCAGCTCTCTTAAGCCTGCTTCCTATCATTCCTCTTACTTTACTCATGTAATTGCTTTATATTTATCTATTCTTTTTTTTGTTCCGTTTTCACACAGCTTTCATCATCGGTTTTCTTTCTTTCTTTTCACAAACCCCTTACTCGTGCCTTTGGTTATTTCTCTCCCATCTTCCCCCGTTCACCCTTCATCAATGATGTTTCTGCATCAAAAGACGTGCATTATATCACAAATCATCTGTAGCGAGGCAATTTTAGTGGCTTGATGTGATGGATAATGTCCAACAGCAAATCTGAGAAAGAGCGTGAGAATGTGTCCTTTTGTGAATGTGTGTGTGCCGGTAAATGTGGACGTGTGTCTGTTTGTGAGTGAATGCATGTGCTTCTGCGTGACTGAGAATAAAGAGTGGAGTGACAGATACACGACTGGTGCCCAGCATCCCGCTCAGTGAGAAAGAGGAGATGAAATGAAGGCAGCGGGGGAGAAGAGAGGAAGAGCAAATAAGAAAAAAGAAAGGAGGTTAGGGAAAATAGTGATGCTCAGAGGGTGAGGCAAAGATGGATGAGGTGTGAGAGGGTGGGTAGAGTGTGTGGATTAGTTGGTGGTTGTAAGCTGGAAGAACTGACAGATTTAGGGAGAGAGTGATGCTAGGGAAAGAGACACAATGATAGAATTAGTGAAGAAGCAGGGACGTAAAAAAAAGTAGAAAATCAGGGATCTGACTCTGAAGGCAGGCAATTAAAAGTGTAATAAAAAGACAAGACAGCCCCTGGGTAGCAAAGTAGCTGGAGCTAGCAGTCACGCAGCATTATGATAACACTAGCACACACACATAAGTACTCTCAGACGGGGCTAAAATAGAAATATAGTGAGGAAAACACGCATCAGCGCTCACACACAAAAGCCTGCTGTGGCACACGCGCAGAAGCTAAAGGACTGGAATTAAAAAGTGTTTTAACTGAACAAAGGGGGGATTCTTCGGGGATTTGAGCTTGCCTCTCACCGTGACACTGACAGATTGTGTGTGTGTGTGTGTGTGTGTGTGTGTGTGTGTGTGTGTGTGTGTGTGTGTGTGTGTGTGTGTGTGTGTGCACGCGCACAGGAATAGCAATGTAGGTGAAGAGATCAGGGCAAGCAAAGGCAGATACCATGCATGGTATAATTAGCAGTGGCAAATTTCAGCTAATGTTTAAAATGTGTTAAACAGGGTTTCACCACATTTTTCAAATTGAAAGCGAACAAAAGCATGACTTACTATAATCAGCAGGATGAAGTAGATGAAGTTATAGAAAGAGTGGGCGTCCATGACATAGTACATGATCTCCACCCAGCCTTCCAGAGTGATCACCTACAACAAAGGGTTGAGACCGTTGGACAGTCAGAGGACTGTTTCCTAGTAGGGTGAAGTCGGTTATGCGTCTTTCTTCAGCTACATAATTAAAGTGGTCTTGTTGAAGACCCTCTCCTAAAGTTGATTCAGTGACAGGGTTGAAGCCCCATTTGCTCTTCCAGTTGGGACATCCAGAAAAGAAGGCTGGAAGAAAAGGTGAGCACTACTGTGACAGTAATGTTGCCTCTCAGCCAAGAACATTTGACAACATTTTCAGCTTCTAATAACTCTGAAGCAGAGAACGTTGAGAAACTGATGTGTTGTCAGTATCAAAAGTCAAGGTTTTGGGATGATGCATTGGGCATTTTAGTTTGGAAAGAATTCATTGAGCCTTTAATCATTGCCTGGAAACAGTTCACAGCCCCAAAAGAGGCAGACTTTTTATCCTGTGCAAAACAAACAAAACCAAACAAAAACAAACAAACAAACAAAAAAAAACACGACTTAAGTAGTAGATTTGAATCTTTTTTACGTAACTGGTAAGGGTGTTGGAAATGGATAGAGCCAAACCAGAACTATTTTATCAGTTCCAAGTTTCTAAGTTTAATTTACGGTGCATTTCCTCAGAGTCTAAATACGCTCCTTCAGCCTCACAGATGCCACTAAACATTTTATGTGTAAGACATGACGAGGCCATGTTACAGTGTTTTCTTTTAAATCAGTCTTAAACATATTGATCTGCAGAGCTTACATTTCCTCTTATTTTAACTGTAGACACCCCCACAAGGGAGCATAATAAAATTAGGATCTGATTAGAAAGCTTTGTTTCAGAGGGTTTGCAAAACATAATTACATAATTTCCACAGTCTGAGTTTTCACAACCTTAAAAATAACTTTCTCTTGCAGATGGTTAAGCATGGGTTGTAGGCTGTTTCCTCTGTAGCTCTGTTCAGTGGAGAAGCCAAACTAAACATCAGAAACAGCGAAACACACTGATGAGACAAGTATCGGAGAAATCATTAAAAACTACTGGAAAGTTGCATAAAAATCCCTGATAAGAACAAGTATACAAAATACCAAAAGCTCTCATTAAATTCTTCATTAACTGGTCATTAAACAAAGCACCTCTTTTTGGATTGAGTGTGAAAATCCCAAATTACTCATTGACGTTAGTAATAAAAGAAGCCAGATTCTTAAGGCAAATAAAAATGTCTAAAATGTCTGAATGCGTTTTACATGTATGCAAGGTCAAAAACAGGCTCAGGCAAAAACAGGAACTAAGAACTACTAAAAAGAATGGAGAATTTTGTATTTTCTTTCATTGTTTTATGGAAGTCGGATGGGCTTGAAGTCTGAAGTCACTGAAGGCATAAATAATGATGTAACAAGCATAAACATATTAAACATTTTATATCTATTTATTTAAACTGCATTATCTTAAAACATGGAGTGGGACTATTAAAAGAAAAGAGCATTTATTTTTACTCAGAAGTACCCCTGGAGGACTTAGTTGTTCGTCCTTTTATCAAAACTGAGGGTTGAAACCATACAGATTAGATTTGAAGTCTTACAGACAAGAAACTGTTTTGTTTAAATGCTTAAAGAGCTGACTGTGTTACAAAGACATCCAGAAAAATAAGTTCATGCTTACCTTGTATTTATTGTGTCATTCACAGCTGTTTATGTGAGCTTTTAGAGAAATAAAATACCATAAATGTTGCCTGACTTTTTCTCATTTTTTTAAAAAAGCAAACAGGATGCTTCTGAAAATGTATCTACTTGAAATAGTGTTTTTATTCATTAAGTACCCTTAAACGTTGAGTCTGAAATGCTTCTCAAAAAACCCTTAAAAAATAAAAAGCAAATGCACAAAAACAAGTGCAGTTACGTTAGATATTTAATGTAAGATTTAATCCACATACACACCTGAAAGATGACAATCCAGGCATAGGCGATGTTATCAAAGTTGATTGCTCCTTTGTGTGGGTTAGTGCTTCCAGTATGACATCTTGTATAGTACTGGTTCCAGTTGACACACAGACCAGCAACACTGTTGCTGCCATTGGACAAAGGTTCAGGGCTCAGGCCAAGTGACTGGCGATACAGCACGTCCTCCTTATCCAGGCAGCATGCTCGTCCTCCTTCACGTCGAGCTGGGACATCCAAACAGGACATGATGCCATTGTCGACAGGTAGAGAGCAGATGAAGGGCCGCTCATCATCCTCATCAGCCATATAATACGGCCGAGGGAGGCTTAAACCATTATTCCTAGAAACGACAAAAGTAAAGCTTCATAAAATCTGTTTCTGTTGGAGAGTAGAAACAAGTGGAAACACTGAGCTAATATTTGTTGTTAAACACACACAAACACACATTCTGGTCTTGTTATAGATTTGAGGACCATTATTGCCTTCCATTCATTTTAGTGACTGCATTGTGCCTAACTCTAACCCTACCTCTAAAACCAACTAATATAAAAAGCAAGCTGTAGTGCTTTATCGTATCGAGCAGCTAAGAATGGCCATACTTGATTTTACAGTTAATCAAAGAATGACCTGCAAACAACCATGACGTATGAAATTGATAGTAATGAAGATTGCTTTTAAAAATAATTTGCATTCACTGCTATGCGATTTGAGGCATTGGTTCTCAGTGAACAAATGGTTGGATCTTCTACTTTGGATTGGGAGGAAGATCCCCAATTGAAGAAAAGAAAAATGAGGAAAGCAACAGATCAGTGAATATGGAGCAAGGCCATCATTCACCTATGTATATATCATTTTAGGGGTTGGGTAAAAGAACCAAATAGTGAACACAGGTGACAAAAAATTAACTGCCCCAAACAGGGTTGCCATTGTCAGCCTTAAGAACAGGATGTGGAGCTCAGACATCTGGGAGGGACTTGGAGTAGAGTTGCTGCTCCTCCACAGCTTAGGTGGTTCATTCATGTGGGCAGGGCTCCGTCTGGTTCCTTTCCAGGTTAGAGGGTTTCAGGTAAGTCTTTCCCGGAGTGGATTCCAAGGCTGACAGGACATGCTGGTGGGATCATGGCTGTGCCAATTTCCAGGGACTCTATCGTTCATCCACCCATTTAAGGCCTACTTCATCAAGTTTAGTTTAAGACACACATTGAGGAAGATGCAGGAATAAATATAAAAGCTCTTTCGTTGAACATTTTACAGCTGCTTACTACTGGTTTTAATCATTGAGGAAGGACCCAATATCAACTAAGTAGGAGGAGTCCTCATAAGAATGCTAACCCTGAATTTGGATACAGCTCATGGGTCGAGGCTGGCCTGGAAACATGCTAGGATCCCAGTAGAGGAACAAAGAATTTGCTGGAGTTTGGACGGTCAAAGATTATGTTTGCTGCCCATACAATTTACACGATTGTTGGAAGGAAACAGGAGAAGGCTATGGACTCTTAGAGCGTGAAGCTGTTTTAAATGACTATTCGGACCTAATGGCAGCGTTGATGCCACCTCACATGACTGTGGACCGTTTGATTCAAGGGTAAAGACAGCAGTTGTAAACCTTAGAGTCAAACTTGATAGTGCCCTGGGCTTAGATGCCCATGTAAATGGAATTGTGCCCCCCTCTTTTTATCATCTGCATCGTTTAGCTAAAATGAAACCATTCCTGACAAGACACCACTTGGAGATAGTAGTACATGCTTTTATTACGGCTCGAATTGATTACTGCATTTCCATCCTATTTAGTGTGAGCAGGGCAACTATAGTGAGACTACAACTGGTGCAAAATGTGGCTGCAAAGATTTTAGTGGACAAAATAATTTCTGACCATGCTTCTCCAGTCTTGGCATCCTTACACCTGTTGATTTCAGAATTTGTTTTAAAATAATTGTATTGTTTTTTAAATAGTTTAATTGACTGGCTCCATCATACTTGCAGACACAGATAGAGCCGTATACCCCGGCACGGCCACCAGTGTGTAAAATATTGTTTTGCTCTCGGTCCCTAAGAACCGCCTAAAGACAAGAGGAGACAGGACGCTCTCTGTGGCAGGCCCAAAACTCTGGAATGAGTTACCCTACTCTGTAGGTTTGTAAAGGTAGGCTAAAGACGTTTTTATTTGATCTGACCTTTACCTACTGGCCGTTTTTAGTGGTTATTTTTGTAAGTTGTATGTTGTTTTACATTTCTTTTATTGTTTTTAATTCCTGTCCTGTTATTTTCATTGTTTCTCTGTACAGCGCTTCGTTGTCATCCCTGTGCCTGAAAGGTGCTTTAGAAATAAAGTTGAAGTTGAGTTGAGTAGCAATCAGTCGCAGTTGTCACTATGCTCCATTCATCCATTTTCATTTGCTTATCTGGAGTCGGGTCACGGGGGCAGAAGCCTAAGTCGAGAGGCCCAGACCCTCTCCCCAGCAACTTAGGCCAGCTCCTCCGGGAAAATCCCAAGGCGTTCCCTGGCCAGATGAGAGACATAGTCCCTCCAACATGTCCTGGGTCTACCTTGAGGCCTCCTTCTGGTTGGACGTGCCCGGAAAACCTCACCAGGGAGGCATCCTGACCAGATGTCCGAGCCACCTCAACTGGCTCCTCTCAATGAGGAGGAGCAGCGAATCTACTCCGAGCCAATCCCGGATGACCGAGCTTCTCACCCAATCTCTGAGGGAGAGCCCAACCTCTCTGTTCGGAAGTTCTGTCGGAGGTGGGACTTGAAGCTCCTTCTGACAGGAGACTCTGCCAGACATTTCCAGCAGACCCTCGCAATTCGTTTGGGCCTGGCTGGTCTGACCGGCACATCCAAATGTCACTGTGTTTGAAAATGAAATTGTTCAAGGTTCCATGAAGAGCAGGTAAGATTAAAGTTGCTCAAACTAAATAGTCACAGAATCTTACATAAAAATGTTGACAACACCCCCTTAAAGATTTCACAGAAACATGGGGACAGGTAGGACACAGGCAACAAGGAGGGATGGATAAGTCTGCAATAAAGTGGACACTCGCCAGTGTATTATTGGGATTTTGAAGACAGCTAAACTGCTTGTCCTCTGTGGTTATTTCACTCAGCAACATGGTGTGAAAATGAAATTCACAGCAGCATTTTCACGGAGACAGAGATAAGAGGATGAAAGGATAGAGACAGAGACAGATCCCATTATGTTTGTAGTGGTAAAATTTAACAAAATGACAGCTAACAGAAAGATGCTAGAAGGTAGGAACAGGCACACTATCAGCCTGAATCACCAGGCTGTCACAGCATCATGTCAGACACTGTTTGCCACCATTTCACATTCCCTGGATGAGTACTTTTCTGTATGTACCAAGTACTTTTTGCTGTTTTCTACATGTTTTTCTCGCAGTCAGAGTTGGATAATGCCACGTTAGTGACAGAGCTGCTTGGCCGACTTTCTGCAAGGCCTCTATAGTTCCTTTTAAACAGATAGACAAATGCCTCAGTGTGCATTTGGTTAAAAATGGTAAAGAGAAAGTCAATTTACTTTACCTTAACCACGTTTTAAAACCTGGTTTCTATTCCACACAGAGTGAGAAGGAGAGAGGTGAGCAACATGTGTGGAAGAGAAGGAGGCAGCGAGACATATTACAGTTATTTGTCTTGACACTAAGAGAAGAGAGAGGTTGGGGATAATGATAGAGAACAGCAGAGCTCTGTGCAACTTGATTTCAATCTGAGAGAGAGCTGCTGTCTAAAGGGCAGCCCAGAGAAAGAGATACGGATAAATGCAGGCATTTTTTAGCAATTATGTTTGACCTGATCTTTGAGAAAGCTTGACAGAAGCATCGTGGTACTGCCGTATCACTCTGTCTCTATCGCTCTTTGGATTTTTGTATCTTGGGCTCTGTCAGTGTGAGTTGAGTCTTGTCAAACGAAAAATACAATGAGCTCCACTGACATGACTGCCAGCCTTTTATCAAGATTCTTGTAAGTTTCAGAGTGCAAATAAATAGTACCGTGGATCTTTTGAGATATTAGATGTTACATGTGATTTGGGTTTATGGTGCATGGTGGCACTGGTAAAAATAAATAGATAGATAAATCCAAATTAGCATGTTCATATAAAACTAGTGTGGACAAAATGAAGATTCAGAAACACATTTCATGTGCATTTATCTTTGGATTATTAATGAATTAATGAACGGATGAATTAATTAATCAATCAATTAATTTATGTATTTATTAATGTTATCTTGGGTTTTAGAGATAGGCAATGCACTTTACAGTAAGTAAAATGCAAGACTTTAATAAAACAACATTAAAACTGTTGCTAGGAAACAACATTGTTTCCTGGTCATGTTTTCCAAACTTTTTGAGGTTTCTTCCTGTTTAAAGGGAGTTTTCTTCTCCACTGTTGCTACATGCTGTCTTAAGCCGGGCGTACACTGTGTGACTTTTTCACTTTTTTGAGCCGATTTTCCACTCGTGCGAGAATCCACGAGATCGGGGCGAGTTTTACGCTGAGCGTCGTGTAGTGTACAGGGGGTTACGAGAGGCGATTAACACCACGTGACCAGCTACCGATCAGCAGTCGTGAGCTCGCACAAACTTCTAGCGTGTTTGAAATTTTGCTCGTCCATCATGAGGGTATCGCACTGTTGAAGCGGCGCTGCGAGCAGCTGCGACCCAAAAAGTATCAGAACCGCTCACGGCGCATGCGCAATCCGGCATCAACGCCGCTCGCCCGCTATTTCCCTAATAACACACGCTGTTCGTTTTTGTTTCTACACGTTTTTTTACTCACAAAGATTGTCAAGAAAGCGTGTTTGTCGTGTTCATGTCAAATTAAACTGATCACAAAACACAGATTTACTTTCTTTATTTCGTTTTCCTCATCCAACCCCCATAAATCCCTGCGTGTCCTCCTGCAGCACTCCCGAAGGACAACAGGCAAAACAAGACAAAAAAGTCTGACGTGTTGAGTAAAAACTGCTATTTTTAGCATATTTTTAGGGTCGACGTGTTGCTACCAGACGTACAGTGTGAGCAGTCAGGTTGCATCCGAGAACTGGGTCGTGCAGTGTGAGCAGTCAGGTTGCATCCGAGAACTGGGTCGTGCAGTGTGAGCACATGACTCGTGAGATCTGCCCTGCGAGGAAGTCGTACAGTTTGAGCTGAAGCTGAGTGCTACGAGTGAAAAAGTTGCGCAGTGTCCGCCCGGCTTTAGTATGAGGATTGGTGTAAAGTCTCTTGACACAACAAGTCAGTGGCTCAATGCAATCTGTTGGATTTCCTTTGATAGAGAACCTAACTGGCACAATGAACTGAAATAAGTGCACTAATAA